CGCGCATAGCTTCCCGGTGTCTGTCCCGGACCGTCTGCTTTTCTCGCTGAGCAGCCTCTGTTCTCTCTTGCTCCAACTCCTGCGTGTTAGGAAAGTCGGCGTTCCAAAAGCCTGGAGGACTTCGCATTCTCGAGTAGTGGAATCGGTGCGTCCCATACTTATTGGCAAGCTCCTGTGTCTTGGCTTCAACCCATAACTCTTCTCTCTCCTTTTTGTCCATGGTTCCCAGGCGGTATGCAAAATCACCCAGATACTCCTCCAGCAACTTCTGCTCCTCTTGTCGCTGGGCAGCTGTTAAAGGGGAGTTTGGACGTTCAGATAGAGCGAGGGCCCGCCAATCCTTGCCGCAACAGTGCAGATCGGTACAGCCTTGCATGCGAGACCTCTCGTTTCTGTCACGTACCACATCAGAAAAAGCAAAATCGTGACCCTCGTTGGCTTGGGGATTGATTTTGAAGTCGTCAGGGCGTAGTTCCGATATCGGTTTGCGTCGCAGAGTCCCTTCCTTGGAGCCCAAAGGAAACCGCGTATTCTGGGGTGTAAGCTTGGAGGTAGCGCCTAGATCTGTAATTCGACTCGGAGTATCAAGCTGTTGAGCGGGAGTTCTGTCTCTAGCTCGACTCCCTTGTTCGAATGGTAATACTCTCCGTCCTGGAATTGCAAGGTCTTCTGCGGTTGTACTTGGTCTTGTTGCTGTTCTCGGGGTAAGTCGACCAGTAGGTGAATTCTGGGCGGCAGGACTGTTCAAAAGTGTATCAAGTCTCCCCCTAGGAGTTGTGTTTGCATCCTTGTCCTTTCTGTAGGCCTCGCCATCTTCAGCCAGAGTCGAGATACCACGTCCCAACCCCTTTCTGAGGGGAGTGTCTGGTTTTTCTCGAGTTGACTGCACCACCCTTCGATTTACGCTCAATGGCGTGAGTGCTGAGGTTCTCTCGATTGGCCGAGCCGTCTGAGATACATGGTCAGGACGAACGAAGAGAGGTTTGGGGGTCGTGGCTGTAGCAAATGCTTCCCTATGCATTTGCTCCAACTTTTGTGACTCTTCTAGCTCACGTCGTTTCCTGGGCGTCAACAATCTTTGTGCAACGTCTCCTAAGTCTATACTTTCTTGTGCGAGGAGAGTAGCCGGCCCCAACGGCTGTATGGGGCTCGAGGATCGCTCATTGGGCTCAACTTTCACTTTTTGCAATGGCGAGTCATTGGGATCTGCATCGTTGCGTTTCCTCTTGCGAACCTCTCTTTCTGACACAACAACTGGTGTATCGGATGTCGGTTCTTGCTTAATCTTCACTTCGCTGACATAGCCCTGAAGTGGTAGCTCTGGTAGGTCCAGTAGATCCTCCTCGTGGGGTCTCGATTCCCCCTCGCTTTGTGTAGAATCCGAGCTAGGGTTGGCGGCTTTTGTGTCGGGAACAGGCTGATTGTTATCAGCATGGAGAGACGCCGCGGCTAGAGGTGGAAGTTCCAGATCCGCTTGCTCTAGGCCAGCTTCCGAAGCGAAACTGATGCTGGGGCTGGGAGCAGCATCTTCTGTCCTTGCCGCAGGGAGCGTGGTTGACCGAGAGCTTCTGTTCTGACGATCCGTGATGCTGATTCGATGCTCGTCCTCAGCTGCCTTGATCCTTTTTTCCAGCATCGTCGCATGATTAATCCATCGATCGCGCTCCTCTTTTCTTTTCCTCAAGGCATCCTTTGCCTGTTTGAAGTTTACCGAAAGTGCCTTAAACTTGTGGCTAACTTTAGCACATTCAAGCTTCCAGTCTGGTTCGTTTTCTGGTGTTTTGCTCTCTGGGGATTCTCGCCGGGCTGATGCTTGTGGGTTCTCTGCCGTCTTGGTTGTTGCTTGCTGGAGCTGTTGCTTTAATCTTGCATTTTCATCCGCCAACTCAGACGCTCTAGACGCGTGATCATCTCGCTGCTGAAGAGCTTCATGAAGCTCCTTCTGGGCACTTTTAAGATCTAAAGCGTGTTAGACATCTCATTCACGCTCATGTTCTTAGGTCAGTGACGTACCTGATGCGATCTGCTGGTCAATTAAATCACACGCATTATTTATGGCATCAAGAAGAGCCGGGCGACCAGAAGCAAGCCAACTCGTCATCGTTCTATATACAAAACAAATGACATGTCTGTTGACTCGTCTTTTCTGAGAATGTGTATAACGTTGAAGTAGTGATGTACCTGGGCTGATGCAACCTCGACGCGTCTCCACAGTTTACCGACGCGGCGATTTCCACTTAAGGGACGCCCGCTATCGGTGGACACACGTGACCACCCTCGGAAGACTCATGATGAGATATCAAGAATTTGAATCATGAGATGAAAGGGGATCCGAGGAGCTTGGAGAGTCTCCTATTGATAGCAAGTTCATTAGCAGTTTAGCGACGTGAAAGATGGACAAGTCCAATTGTGGTACTAATGGTATTCTGAAAACTACTAGGTACCTAAAGCTCCAAGCTTATTCTGTTCCAACACCTATATGTGAGCCCTGCTTGTGATATGCATCTGAAAATACACTCGCTATAATTATACAACTGATATTGTTCATTAGTATTGATCCTTAGCAAGTGTCCAGCACTTGCGCATCCCTGTACCCATAGACTCTTCATCAACAGCTTCAGGAGTCGCCCATCTCAGTCGACTTGAAGCAAGCGACTTCGTGTCATTCAATTCACCATCTTCCAGGCTGAACAAGTGGACATGCATCGTAAGCTTCAAATGAGAAAAAAGCCACGGTACACTGCCAAGCTCTTCCATATGTTTCGGTTTGACTGCTTTGCCACCGTGCTCACCTGCCAGCTTGGACACGTATGACAATGCCTTCGATCTTCGCTTTGCCGGCGTGTTACCCTTCTTAGGGTCTTCCATAATATAGCTGGGGAATTCCCACAAACCAGCGAGAAGTCCTTTCTCTGAACGTTTCTGAATCAAATATTGCCCGTCACCGCGGCGAATCACGCAGACTAGTGTCTCTTCTTCTCTAACTGCCTTTTTGATGACTTTGAGCGGGAATTTGCGTGCATGATCGACAATAACCTCCATATCACGAGGACCTGGGCCCGTTTCCACTTTCGTGGAAGCCTTCTTATCTCCAGATGGTCCCTTGAAGGCAAATGCGGCCAAGGTCATCTGCTTGCCTTGTCCTCCATTCGTCTTGGCCTTTTTGGAGGCCTTGGCTTCCACCTTGACCTCTGGCTCGTCCAAAGCCGTTGATTCTTCAAAGGGCTCGCAGAGGTCACACAAATCTTCGATGTCCCCAATCTTTGTATCACGGCCTTTCCTTGGAATCAACGTTTGTCCTTCGGCGTAGGCACGGCAGGTCGAAGTAATGGGGCACTCGGAGCAGTTTGGCTTGGGTATGCAGATTGTGCTTCCCAATTCCATGAGTGCTTGTCCCCAACGTCCAGGGCGATCGCTTGTTTCGACTTCTTCGTCGCTTTGAGAATCAGTCCCATCTCGCGCAATAGCTTTGACCAAAGCATCGGCAGCAGCCCATAATGTATCGATCACGACTTTGTTGGTTTTCACGTTGCCGAATAGCCCAAGTTGTCGGCTCAACACGCGTAGAACGTTTCCATCAACCATCGGCGCGGCTCGCCCAAAGACAATGGCTGAAATGGCACCGGCAGTGTATCGCCCAACACCAGGAACCTTTGCCTCGAGATCTTGTGTGCAGGAAGGCAAAAGTCCTTCCATAGTCGAATCGTTCACCACAAGTTTTGCCGCCTCGTGAATTCTTGTTGCTCTGCTGTAGTATCCCAAGCCACGCCAGGCACTGAGAACATCATCGGCACTTGCAGCAGCGAGATCGTGGATCGTGGGCCACTTTTCCATCCATCTGTTCCAGTAGTCTATGACCACAGCAACTCGCGTCTGCTGCAGCATGATCTCACTGATCCAGACCTCATAAGCTCGTCGTTCCAGGAGGTTGCGAAGCTCTGTTTGACCATGATCCTTTGGATTTATCCAGGACTTGCGCCATGGCATCGAACGCTTGGTACTCACGCCGTCAAACCAGCTGAGAAGTGCCTGGCGAGAAGAAGACTCTTTCAGTAATAGGGGTCGGTGATACGAGAGAGGATGATGCCTTGACGGAGGGGTGCATGGGCTCTGGCATGTCTCCCCTTCATTTGAGAAGAGAGTCTCATGAATCTTGGAGTTTGCATTTTTGCCTCTTGCGGGTTGCGTTTTCCGTCGCTTTGCTACAGGCAACTTGATATCGGTTTCTGGCGTCGCGTCTCTCTCAGACGCGTCAAAGTCTTCGTCGTGAGAAGGCGAAGGGCGCTTAGCCGCGCGATTCTTAGTTAAGGAATTCTTATCATCTTCAGGCTCCAACTGGGATAAGAATTTTTGCGATGCATTGATTGCGCTTGAACGCGTTGCTCGCGCTTGTGTCTTCTGAAGGAATTTGTCCATGATGCCGTGTCTCCTTAACAGTCCCTTGAGTGAAAGTGGATGCGCTATGAAAGAAAGAACGTAACAAGAAAGCCTTTCTTATTGGTGATACATGATTGGATCGAGGAAAAACAAAAGTATTCATGGAAAAACTGTTAAAGAAAAAGATGTCAATAATCGTGGTGTTGCAGTATTCACCGTCGAGGTTTCGTGGGTGGGTTAATTAAACTTAGCGCTCCCGAAGCCTTACAAATTAACTGCCCATGACTGAGACATCCATATTTCCCACCCAGAATTCTTCAGTATTGGCGACGTCAAACAGAACCTAATACGTAAAGTTGAATTTCCTCGGCAATTCATTACTTCTTGTAAATCCGCTTCCTTCGCGAGTATTGAACATGGACTGCTCAGAGATGCTGGATGATGACCCTTGTCTAGGCTCAGGCCAACAACCTGCAGCCTGCAGCCGCCCGGCAGGCCTCATGGTCCCTATAAGCGCTCAAGTTGACATTCCCTCTGTATCTCACCTCATCTCGGCCTGAACTGAATCAACAACTTCTCATATCTGGCACTGAATTGTACACCGCAGCGTATCCTCAACGGCCATGTCCACGACCTTTTGCAAAGCATGTTCCGGTATCTTTCAGGGGCATTACGTCCCATCGAATGTCCTGTCCGAGAAAGACATGGTTGATGTTCAAGACACTGATTTTGGAATTCCTGGCTTCACGAAAGACGTGACTGAATGGAAAGTCAGACTGGAATACACAACAGGACAAGACAAACCAACACCATATCTCCATCACAGCCTCCATGACCTGACTAAAAATGCGGACAAGTGTAGTCTATGTGCTGTCATGTCGGAGAGGATACAGTCGGATAAACAACCAGCGGCCATTCCTCAGAGACTGAAAGAGATGAAGGAAATGGGGAAGAATATCATTGGAATCCCCATCATCAAGCCAAAGCCGGGGACATTTTGTGGCATGTTCACTCTTGGATTTCTGTATGTCACTTGGAGTGGATAGAAGTGGCAGGGCCATACTTTTCAAATATACCAAGCTTTTTTAACAGTCGGTCAGTACCAGGTTCGTCCTTTTGACACAAACTGTTCTAATGCGACCAGACACTTCAAAAGCAGATAACAGATTTACATGGAAACCCAAGTACGATCGACAAGAATCGTTGCTACGAATAAAAAATTGGCTTAGTTCATCGTCAACGATATCCAGATTGACTCCTCGGCTGCCAACAAGGCTGCTTCACTGCCAACCGCCAGCTAATCCAGGAGGAGATCCAACAGTTAAATTAGTCAATACGGTTGGTTTTGACGTGCCTACTCGTTACATCGCCCTCAGCCACCGCTGGGATGCAGTACAACCGCTCATGTTGTTGGAGTCTCTGAGAGATACATTCTCTAAGAACATCCCCTTTGATGCGATCCCCCCAACATTTCAAGACGCCATCAGATTGGTCAACGCGCTGGACATTGAGTACATTTGGATTGACTCGCTCTGTATCATTCAAGATTCCAAGGATGATTGGCAGACCGAAGCTGCACAGATGGCTTCTATTTACTCCCTGTCCTATGTCACAATCTCCGCTACTGCTGCCCAAGATTCTGCAGCCGGCCTCAGAGAACAACATCCGATGCTGAAACATCCTTGTGAGGTCATTCCATCCTGGACAGGGTTTGAGAACCAGATTCCACCTGCACCTGTCAGGATCGTGAACAGATCTGCTTTCTGCGACGCAGTCCTTGCCCAGCCCCTGTTCCGCAGGGGATGGGTCTTCCAAGAATGGATTCTATCGCCAAGGACCATACACGTTGCTCGAGACCAGCTCTGGTGGACCTCAACCTCAGATATGACCTCTGGAGGTTTTGCTGCAAACGAGACATGTGAAGGCTTTGACTTTGATGTTCATCGAGAATACATCCATACAATGGCCCCTGGAACCCTATATTCAATGGAAAGCCAAAGTGAAGAGAGTCTACAGCTCGTGTGGCATACTTTACTGCAAGAATACATGCCACGCTCGCTCACATTTGAGTCCGATCGCTTAGTAGCATTCGCTGGTATTGCTAGCTTTTATCAGACTCATGCGAAGATTAAAGCGAACTCTTATTTGGCGGGAATATGGCGCCATGTTCTCCTTCAAGATCTATTATGGACTATAAGTGAGGGTAGAAAAGTCTCGCCGCCACAGAATTACCGCGCCCCATCGTGGTCCTGGGCGTCAGTTGAGCCAGCACCAGATACGAAAAAGAAGTTCCTGATAGGGAGCCAGGAGATAAACATAAAATTATCACAGACGGAACAGCCTTGGGTCTGTACAGCCACTGTAATTGAGACATCTGTTGCGATAACGGGGTCGGAATTTGGGTCTGTTTCTGGAGGGCACATTGTCCTCCAAGGGCCATTAATCAAGGCTCGTCTTTCTATGAACATGATCGACCTATCGAATCGTCTCACGGAAGAACAGGCTTTGGAGTTCGTACCAGGCGGGAAGTTGCGATTTGTCCAAAATCGTGTCACAGTACCAGGAGGTCCAACTGTGGCAACCATGGGGGCATATACACATATGTCGGCGACCAGGGCTCTACTCGATGATGTTATCCCAACTGTGCTGGCCGAAGAGGTTGTCGATATTTATCTTTCAGTCTTCTACTGCCGCTTCAATCGCGATGGAAGTCCTATTGGCCAAGCATTGGTTCTTGTGAGAGGCATCGAGAAAGGAGAGTTCCGTCGAATTGGCCAAGTTGGCATGACTGGAGAGACCATAGAGCCCTGGGCTGAAAATAGGGATTTTAGCAAGTTTGCGCCTCTTACAGATGAGGAAGAATTTCTCAGTATGGGGAATCGACCTGGAATCTACAACTATCGAATTGTCTAGTCTATCATTAAGCAGTCTCATCAGGATTCATCGCCGTCCCGTCCAGGCCATAGAAGTTTCCTACGAATCACCGCTGAGATCATTCCATATAAAACAACGAACCACATAATCACGAGCAATATTGTCATTACACTTGACACCCACTTAATCCCTTCACTCTGCAATTCCTCACCAATGTACGCTGTGGCTATGGTGAAGCCAATATTCGGGAAGACAAAAGCCCACCAACTCATGCTGAACTTTAATTTCCATCTCAATGCAGAGGCGAGAACGGCGAAGAGGCTGAATCCAAGGAACCAGAAGCCAACACACCAGATCCATACGCCAGTCCAGAGTGCCAACACTCGAAGGATTTCGTTCGCCATTGGGTATGTTGCAAAGTAGCCATAGCCTTCTGGAAGCGATCTCGACATACCGATGATGGCCACCGCTGTGTATCCTGCTGGCCCTACAGCGATGAACATGCCAGGTCGCATTGCTGGTGCTGGAAGACCATCCTGCATCAGCCTGCCCAAGTACAACGGATACATGAACAGAGATACTGTCCACCCAAGACCCTGGAAAGTCAGGCCAGCTACTAGCATTGACATCCGATGTTCCGGGCTCTGAGAGGACATGAGGGCAGAAGCGAGGGTCCCAGTGAGCATTGCTGGAAATACTGGTAGAATCCATGCTGGTGTCATGGAATGGATAGGCAAATGAGCCCCGGTGAAAAGGACATAGAACTGGACTATGGCGGATAAGATCGAAAGCCCAGCATACAACCAGAAACACACTCGCAATGCAGTAGCTAGCCACGGCCCAGTAGCGGGGATACCATATACAGTTGCATTGGCAATGACAGTAGCGACGCTGAGTAGAGAGCACGGGAAGAAAAGACTCTCAGTGGGATGCATTAAGCTATTCCTCAGCGCATACGGCGTCTTCATGAAGCGAAAAACAAGACCGGATACGATGGTGACAAAAAGGACCAACGTAAGGGTAAAGTAGACCTTGCCGATAACCTGCAGACCTCGAAACTGATGTGGTGTTGAGTGTAGCAGTAGCGCAATACCGCCTGTGCTCATGACGAATGTGAACCATGCCCATGTTATGTGCTTGAGGCGTTCCACGATTCGAACGTTGGCTGTGGACTTGAAGCGTTTTTGCCCTGCCACTCGTGTATGGCCTTCTTTCCAGTTATCATTGTCCATGTCTTGGACGCGGCGTTTGAGTTCGAGACGGCCATCGCCGTCTGCGGAAAAAGACATTAGGAGGCCGATACAGAGTGAGAAACTATGAAAGATGAAGCTTGGTGGAGCGTTCAGTGGGAAAGGTCCACTGTTTGTTGGATCAAGGTCGTGACGAAAGTCTAACTTGGTGATGGGTCATCGTTAGTCATGATTAGGCCAGGGAGGCTGAGATGCGAGGTTCTTTATAAGCAAATTATTAAAACGCGTCCAGTGAGATTTTAAAGGTGTCGAGCATCGATCAAAGGTTATTTAATGGCGTTGTGCTAAAAGCTATTTGAGGTTGATTGAAATAGCGTGAGACATCTCCCGCTTCAACGAGCGAATGGGATGATGTCAGCTTATGAGGAGCAGACATCCATTTGCTACCGAGATAACGCTCCATGTACAAATAATTGAAGACGGGTAGTTTCGATTCGCCCATTTATAAGTAAGGAGCCGCTGAGTACATCTGCCTTTTGCAAGGCATGGTGTTGGACATTGTCCCTAGATATCCTGCATTAGTACTTTACTCATTGATTGAAGCTACACCATAAGAAATCTGAATACCCAGCTAATGAGCCTGTAATTATCCCAAGCTTGCTAAATAATTTGATACTGATAACGGGATCCAGCAAGTGATCTGTTTCGCAACGCTCCAAATGGGCTCAACACAAATGCAGGCCTCGTATAAATTTCACCCACTCTGTCAACCACACCCCCGTCAATACCCCCATTTCTTATTCTTGGTGCTAGGATATTGGGGCACCATGTCATCTAGGAGCGGACGAATTTGATTCTCTGTCAGGTCCTCGAACTCCTGGTCGAAAGCAAAGTCTCTGGTGTTGAGCACCACAGCAAAGTCAAAATCCCCATTGCTCTCGACATGGGTGCGGGCACCTTCGAAGTTACCTCGACGGTAACCATTCTTTCGGCGCCCAGTTCCGCTCACAGCTATGCCAGTGTTAGTTTACAGAGACAGTTATAAGGCACAAGCGTGCTACTTACCATGGGACCCAGCAAACTTGGCAATGGTGCTGGCACTTGCTTTGAGAGAAAATGCAGCCGTGCACTCTTCCATTATAGCACCGTATCCCCCGTACACTGCTGCAACTGACCTATTTGACATCGGGCGCAGCGTATCCAATCCAGTTAGGCGGCTTTCCTGGATAATGCGATCATGCCAGTGTTCGTATGGCGAGGTCTTGTACTGCTCTACATCCAAGCCTTGAAAGATGTTCTTTTCCAAGAAATCCATGTATGGCATTCCTGTAACGTTGCTTACCAGATACCCAAGCAGCATAAATCCATAGTTTGAATATGATTCCCTTTCGCCTGGTGTAAATTGCAGAGGCTGAGCGAGCATATACTCAATGACATCGCGAGCAGTGGCTGTTCTGTTTCCCTTTGTGGGGAGGGACATGGTAACCTTGTTGAAGCCTAGTGAGATATCTTCGCCAGCTTCACGTCGATCATATCCTCCCTTATGGTCGAGCAGATGCTTGACAGTGATATCATTGGCCCGCTCGTCCTTTGCGTCGAAATAGCCCAGTCGCTTATAAACCTTTGTCCCAGGGGAGAGTTTGCCGCTGTTCATGAGGTGGTCAACAGCCGCAGCAGTGAACATCTTGCTTACGCTGGCAAGAAGGAAGGTATCGTTAGTTGCAACAGTCTCACGGTCGCCTTCGGCCCAAGTATAGGCCCGCTCGGCCTTGATTACGCCCCTTGATGCTATGGCCACTTGTGCTTGTCTGACACCATTTGTCTTCATGAACTTCTCCATGATCGAGTCCAGTGATTTAGCCTTCCTTGGGAACTCAATAATTCCTTTCCATGTGGCGTACCAGTGACGATACTTTGGTTTCTTCCCTGTGACGTGCCAGTGGCGAGTCTTTGGTTCTAGAAGTTCTTGAAAGATGACGTTGTAAAACTCCTCGCCTTCGTGTACGCCGCCTTGTATATCCGTCAGTATCAATCCCTTTGATGTCTGTTCCTTGATAGTCGCCTCGAGGGCTGTTTCATTCAAGTGTGTGTCGCTGTACCAGTCCCCAACACTCGTGTCAGTGAAGAGTCCAGCGATCTTGAGATCGTTAGACATAAAGAGCTTCTTGGGACGCCAGAAAGGCTTCGAAATCTCTCCTCTGAAGATCCGTTGGAAGTCCTCCTCTTTTGAATCGGCGTACAGAGCGACATTCTCATTTCCACGATTCTCGTGACGCAGAATGCAATACTTTCGGTTGTCAGGCGTGCCGTACGAACTGAAGCCTTGTGTTTTCATTTTTAACCCTAATTCGGTCCTTTCAACAAACGGTTTCCAGTTCTTGATACCACAGTCAAGTGTCCAGACGGTTTTGTTTGGCTTTCTGTCTTCTTCCATAACACCAGCAAAGATAGCCTCCTCTTCAGTACCAGTGGCCGTAACATGGGTGAGAACATAGTTTCTCTTTCGTAGCTTTTCGACCCAAGAATCGAAGACTGGCTTGGGTACGTCATGGATCATCTGCAAATCTGGGCCAAGTGGCTCATGAACCCAAATTGCAGAGTAACGGGCGTCATGAGGAGGCCCATAAGAACTCAGCGATGTTGGTCGGTAGCCCATGTTTAAAAGGTGGTGGAGTCTTTCAGAGTGCTTATGACCGGGGAAACCATGGTAGTATTCAACCTGCGGAGGAGACTGTCGGAAGGGGGGCGTGTTGAGGTGCTCGCTAGCTGTCACTGATCCGTGCAATGACAGGAGGGTTGCCAAGAGGCATCCTATCATTCGTAAATGCATTAGAGGACCAGTACTGAGGGCTTAGTACTGCTATGATGCTATCCGACTGACGATTGTTAGAAATCTTTCTAGGAATAAAAGTGTGTGAATTGAAGTAGTAGGTAACAAGGGAAAGAAGAGCAAACAGGACAAGATGTCTTCTTATTATTTTCCAGTGACAGCTTGCTAAAGTCAGTTCTACATAAGCTTGGAACGTCTCGAAGTATCTCATATCGTTCTGTAGATGTAGACATTGAGGGAGGGTTTCTGGTGTTAGCCGCCAACTCTTATCATCCTTATATCTCATATTCGGCCTCGATTGGTCCATTCAGGAACTTCCTGAGATGTAGTTCTCGCGGATTATTGGCGTGTTGCAAATCTACAAGGTTTCAAAAGGCTTTCATTGTGGCGAATAGTCTAAAACGAAAGAAGATTCCATTTATCCCTGCAGTGCTTCACATTTTGGGTTTGACGATAAGCATTTATAGTGGTGGGTTCAAGAAGATAACTGGCCTGAAACACGATAATATTTTACTGAATTATCAAAGTTTCATGGGCTACTCCAGCGTGATTGGATCTCAAGAGAATGATGTATATTCCCATTAAGATTATTGATGGCTTGACATTCGGTAGTAGCTATGTCTCTCGAGCCCAGTCAACAGGGGCTCGGCAAACTGGCCATTCAGCAAATATAATACAGCAAGGGTCTACTAAACTTCCGTTTAGCTATTTTGAGCAAACCAGCATCCATGTCTTCTAGCACGAAATTTTCCTAAAAGGTTGATGCTGACAGCGATGCCGACATCCTCTCATTGTCAGGTTTATAAGTGGACCGACGCAGGAACTAATAGGTATTTTATAATTCAACCAGGTTAGTAAATGGGTATTATGAGGCTTACAAGCAGTTCTGGGACCTTAGGCGACATTCTTATCGTCAACGTCCACGCTACAACGTCGTTTGATTTCTTCTCGCTACTAGAGATCCTGATGGCCAACCTTTCATAAAAAGTAAGAACAACCGTGTCTGATACAGAGGAAGAAAGAGAAATCCCAGCATAGAAAGCAAGTCGGTGCTTCAGACCGATCGGATTCCGTCGTTGTCGAGGAGGCTTTTCGAGGGTGCACAGTAGCTTTGTGTGACACTCAACTACCAAGTACGTACAATTCTCCGACTACAAGGGCGCACAACTTTCATGTTGAGACTGAACACAGGTTCCAATCGGAGAACGTCAGACAACCGAGTTGTCTCGTCGAGGGAGATAACATCCTTTGGCCTTCAATGTATGCGTCTTGTGAGCTCTTAACCAATAGCGGGCCGAAGACTATCGAGGGATGAATTTATTGGAACAAAGGCCCCTGTTTTCGGTTTCCTGGAGAGGTATTGTCTCTCGTGTATTCGCCCCGGCTGAGAGCATTAATCAGGCCTCCGTTTATAAGTCGTCTCATGATGTTGGCTGGTGTTTGGTTATGTTGCGTCGATCTGATCTCAAATTATAGCTTCACAGACTATACCTGAAACAGCTAGAAACTCCACCTTGCCCCATCTGTGCGGTCGCGCCGCGTCTTTGGCGATCTCGCCTGATTGTGCATGGTTAACTAGGGCAACTGCATTTTATCACGTTACAGCGTCTGATGCAAGGCCATTTGACGACGTTGGTAAGTGTGTTAGGAGCAATTTCTGGGAAGATTTGCGATCAAGAGGTTTCAGAGTATCTCATCTGACATATCTTGGTGCCTCAAAAGATCACAACTGCTGTGCCTATCTGCTTGGCTCGGCTCTGGTAGATGATTATGACCTATCACACTCAGCCTCACAAGCATAAGTCGAGTGATACAGAGTGATGATAGCCACAATGTCGCATCTTGACCGGCTTTGGTATCTTGCATCATCTCTGTACCACGTCGCCATATAAGGCTTAGGTACCAATAGAGCAGCTCTAAATGTTGTGTAACAGCCAACTCAGACGATCACGACCCATCCATGATAAAGCTAGGCCTTGTCAGACTGACATTGTACATCCTCAATTGACTCGAGGTTTTCGAGAACAACGACAAGCGAGCCAATACCTGTTGAACACAATAACAGGACCAATTTATCTAAATCAATTTCTCGGGTAGTTACAGATGAATGGGAGTGAGAATACGAATATCTGCAGTAAAATGTGATCGGGTGATTGCACAGTGCCCCGGCTAGATCCAAATCCACGATGCTAGCCCAGTGGATGTGCTCGCTGCAAGTCGTCCCTTGCAGCGGAAGGGCCAACGATTTGAGCCCTGAAGCGAGAAGCCAGGCCTCCACTGTGGATTAAGAAATGCACTGGGCCAGGGACTTTAGACTAGGAAGGCGGGCAGTAAGGCATGCAGATTCGACCCGCACTTACTCAACCCGTCAAAGCGCGTGAAAACTCCCCTCAAACTCTGGAACTCGGCCTTGGTTCTCTCTTTCACACATCACCACAAACTTTCCTCAAATTCTCGTTTGATCCTCTCCTCTTGCGAACATAAGCAAATCAAACCTCTCGGTAAGTTGATGGCTTCACATTATCAGAATTCAACGCGCAGCCTCTTTACCAGCAACTCCCACTTCACTGCCGTTCTTTCGCATCGTCATCATCATCTCTCAGCGCTCGCCTGGAAAAAAATCCTGGAGCAAAATTACCTGGGAAATCTCTGCACCCCGCCCCCGCCTACCACTTTCAGCTATGAGAACGTTGTCAGTGGGCTTAAAACTCACTGTCCACTCTCATGACAAGCCACAGCTTGGGACGAGCCGTTGAATTCCATCCATTGTCGGCAGTCAATCACTGTTTTAATGCGATCACAGCTCCAATTGCCTAGCTCAAGAGTCTCTGAATCGCCCTCATGACTTTCTCACGCCTGTCGGCCATTTTGGTTCAAAGAGTCTGTGTTTTCTCATCCGCAAAGAAAACCTTTTCAATTTCCTCCAGTTGCCCCTCTTCTTACCTCCTGCAACTCCGTCACTACACATCAGCCCCTCGCCAATCTCTTGCCTCTATCGGATCTCGGAGGCGGGTGACCACTCTAGCTTTTACCTTAACACACTTTCATGTTTTCATATCTGTGCCTCACTTCCCAGACTGACTGTGAGAATTCAGAAACCTTTTCACACAACCACTCAATTTCTCAAAATGGATTCTTTCCAGCAGCAACAACAGCAGCAGCCCCGTGGCGCTTGCTACTCTTGTAAGTCTGATCTATCTCATTCAGACTCCTTCATCAACATGTTCCGCAACAAGACCTGTTTTCAGACCAATGCAAGTTTCTGCGCTTGCTTTGGCTCCAAAGGCGACCCAAAACAGTGCGCTGCTTCTTTAGGCTCTAGGCTTGATGCGGTGGCTTGCCTTTGTCGTGTTTATGCACGGCTGGTCGCGTGCCATATGGCCACCGCAGACCTGGCTTGGCAGTGGCTTCTGAATCCCGTTGAGCCTCGGTTGCGGCGTCTCATTTCCGCATACGTTGACTTGTACACTTGAACAAAAACTGACATGATATCTAGGCGGTTCTACTGGCCACCAGGTATGATACGCATTTCGACATCTTTGTTCTGTCAGCCTACTCACTGTTCACTCTAGGCCCGTGACTGCCCTACCAAGGGTCCTGCTAAGTGGTGAGTATTCTCTTCGAGTTTAGAGTGTTTCTTGGCTAATTGAGATCTAGCTACAACTGTGGTGGTAAGACCTGCTGGCTCTTTTTTAAATGCTTTAATTTTGTCGACTAACTTTTTTTGCTATCAGGCGAGGGCCACATGAGTATGTCATCTCAGCTCTCTTGTTTGACCATTGCTAATCCATCACAGGCCGTGACTGCACCGAGCCCATGAAGGATAACAAGTCCTGCTACAAGTGCGGCCAGCCCGGCCACATCTCCCGTGACTGCCCCATGAGCGGCGGCAGCGGCCAGGCTACCGAGTGCTACAAGGTGAGTTTATTTGTCCTTCAGACTACGGCTGCGGCTAACAACGTTTCAGTGTGGTGAGATTGGCCACATCGCCCGCAACTGCTCCAAGTCCTCCTACGGTAACAACTATGGTGGTGGCTTCGGTGGTGGCGCTGGCAAGACCTGCTACTCTTGCGGTGGCTACGGCCATATGTCTCGTGAGTTGCACTTTTACCCGGGAGCATCTGATCTTGGCTAACCAAATCATAGGCGAGTGTGTCAACGGCATGAAGTGCTACAACTGTGGCGAGTCTGGCCACTACTCCCGCGACTGCCCCAAGGAGTCCGCCGGTGGTGAGAAGATCTGCTACAAGTGCCAGCAGCCTGGGCACGTCCAGTCTCAGTGCCCCAGCAACTAAAATGGTGGCCCGTGACTCAGCATCGTGACTGAGGCGAGGTGGACGTGGAGACTCGTTGATACCCACGGACGATTTATTTCCTAGTTCTTTTTACGGCATTTCGACAAAAGTTCAACTTCTTCGCACGACTTCTTATGATCATCACGGCAGAATGGAGACTTACAAAACAGACCGTGCGCGATTCTCGACGAGTGGCTGGCGGCGACCAGCTTTGATTGGAACATGTCGGCATTGGATTTCGTCACACAACGAACGAACGACTACGACCATGAAATCGACTCGACTTTGAGACAGACGGATGGTGACGGGTGGGGGTGACGAAATCAAACTGAAAATATCTGGTGTCTTGCATGCAATGTTTTACAACACCTCTGGTGCTCTGCTTACTCGCTGCAAGTGGAGAACCCAAGCTGAGGAGAGCTGGGTGTGCTCCTTTGGTAGTCAAGTCGAGATGAAATGCGTTGATCCCGACGTTGTGGAAACTCTAACCTGGTGTGACTGTGTGTTTCGATATCGTCGACCTATGCTTTGCGTTACTAGCAGAAGCGGGTGTGTAGAATGAAGATGAACAAGGCTGAAAGGGTGGTCGTTCCTCTTGGATGCACCATCACAATCGGCCTGTTGCTATTAAGATAGTCTCCGACTAGTAGCATGCTATTCGGACAATAGCATGTTCACTCAGCTTGGTGTGACGAAATGGCAAGCGAGTTGCTGGTCACGCAAACAGGAACCCTTCAGGGGTAGCTGTGTGACGAAGGTTCAGACCTAGAATGGTTCCCGACGCGGAGTGTACATGGGTCCTTGGCGTGGCCCGTTGCGGCCCATATTACGCCCACGGGCCAAGATACGGATCCGGCATGAAAGACCATTTACAACAATCTCGGCTGAGTTTTTGGATAACGAGTCGATACAGGTGAAACTCAGCAAGCACTTTAGCGGCCTAAGCATATATATTCAACGAACTAGGCTGTTGGCTTGGCCCAGTAATTTCAAAATCTGGGATCCTGATAATCAAGGTCGACTGCAGATAGGGAGAATATATAGAATCAAGCTGACTGCCATGCCGTTGAAATGAAAGTCAAAGGGTCGGAAGTGCTACCAGCCTGACTCTGGATTCTATACCAGGTTGCTTATATGAATAGCACCACGATAACAAGGACATTACTCAGACTTTGCTGCCTACTATACCCAAATCTATTATCTAGAAGATGGACACTACCTATACAGCCTCTGCAAAGGCTGTTCATTTCCTGTCGAAGCCACTCAAGTGCGCCGCCATTGCAATCATTGTTTGAGTTGGTAACACAAGAAAATCGTTACGTAGACTTCTCCATCGATCTTGTTGAGTTGGTTTAGCTGAGTTGTCTCCTTGGCATTTATATCGTGGCTGGAAATATATCAAGAGTCGCCACACATGTCTTGACATAGATAGCTTCAGGTTGATAATATATAAATGCAATTTGAATCCAAGTTTAGTCGTTTTGATGTCCTTCAAAAAGCCACTTGATATGCTAGTATTTGACCCTTTGTTCTCTATCAACACCTCAAACGTCTCTCTTCATAATCTTTCATATTGGTAGAGAACTAACCGTCATTCTGCACGTCCGTTTCCTTCAATTAACCTTTTTGAATGAGTCATGTATACAAGATCACTCTTCGACATCTTTGGCTGGATAGTACTAATTTCAGGCTTTTCAAAGAGCGAAGAGGGATTTCCAGGGGCTGCGATCGCCGGATTGAGATCGAGTTTTTGGTTGTTTTGTGAGAACTGCATGGCCAAGCCATTCATGTTAAACGTATACTACTTCATACTGTTTTTCCAGGTTTCGATCTACTTAGTGGCAAAGCTTCTGTAAACGTACATTGTTACCAATGCTTGGTTATAATTCTAATTTGGCCTTCGCGTCCTTCTCCTGGCATCGATCGTCCACCACGAGCGGCAGCGGCAACTGAAATCTGTTTTGTACTGACAGAGATCAAGTGAATGAAGAAGTCACGACGCATGTTAGCCATTTAGAAATGCGAGGACCAGTTTTATGGACCAGCTGCCTTTGAGATAGAGCCTATCTACACATATAGCAAGTTTGAAAACACTGCCGTAAAGTAAATTTTGACTCACGGCAGATGCATTACACTCAATAGTAATTCAATTTATCAATAAGATCATGTTCAGTCATAATACAAGGACATTGGCTTCAAAGTGCTGGACAACTGGTACCCTAACGCGCAAACTTTGAGAAACCCGGTACGTCAACTCATTTGTCGATTTTAGGTTGGCAGGCGGCGGCAACAAATACTGAAACACATAGCAGAGAGCCAAGTCCTTCGACTCTAGGTGTATTAACACAACATTGTAAGCACCGATGCGAAATATCTACCAGTTTTGCTCGGGATCTACCTAAGAGGCTGCGTTAACGCAGCTAAGCAAGTAAATTATTGTCACATATCCTTCTGTTCGACAAGAAGAAATAAATTGCTGGATATTTTCCAATAATACATGGTTTAGAGTATAGCCACCTTGATACACTGCACCGTAGTCTTACAACATAGCCTTGGGGAAGTTCCTCATGGCCTGTCTCACACCGAGATCTGCCAACACTTCCTCGGCACCGCCGAGAATGGCATCGAACTTGTATGTTCGGTGGAACATCTCGATAAACTTGCCCATACCAGTCTGGGTAATACCACGACCACCCCAGATCTGCACTGACTCGTCGGCAACTTCGTGGGCAGCACGAGTGGCGCTCATCTTGAGCAGACCAATAGGGCCGGCAAGATGCTGTGCTTGTTGTGAGTAGGGCATGTGGCACATTTGGTAGGTGACGGTTTCGAGCCATGACTGGTTGGCTTCGATGAGCGCGATCATCTTTGCGAGTCTGGACGGTGTTAGCAATTGAGCAAATATGGAGGGTCTAGGAGAACTGACTTCTGGCGGATGACGGGCTGATCAATGAGCGACTTGCCGAACACTTGACGTTGATTACTCCACTTGAGACACTCCTCAATGATGGATCGTGACAAACGAAGACTTCCGCCTATTGAATAGAGGTTAGTTCTGATCTGAATGGTTATACCGTAGCTGGGAGGCGGTAGAACTTACAAACCATGTACCATCGCTCGTGGTTGAAGTTGCTCAGAATGACCTGGATACCCTTGTTCTCCTTGCCCAGCATGTTCTCGGCGGGGACCTTGACGTTGTCGAATGTCACGAAAGCTGTACCAGCTGTTGTAGAGTAAGAGGTCTTGATCTGCTTGGTCTCAACACCCTCGCCACGCTCGATAAGGAAGACACTCAAGCCCTTGTCGGTTCGGGCACCTGTAACGAAGTAATCGCACCATACACCGTTGGTGATCCACTTCTTGGTACCGTTGATGATCTAGGTAGTTTGTGTGAGCGCTTGATCTTTCATCTCCAAGCAGCAATCGACTTACATAGTGCTTGCCATCAGGTGTCTTCTCGGCAGTTGTGCGCAATCCAGCGACATCTGAACCAGCAAAGGCCTCGGTGATGGCGAGACAGATCTTCTTCTTGCCGCTGAAGACCTCGTTGGCAATCTTGTTCTTCCATGCCTCGTTGCGGGCGAAGTTGAGAACCGCCGTCAGTCCAATAGTCATGCCCGCCATGTTTCCATCAGCGAAACCTCGAGCCATAGCTCGCGCAAGCTCCTGTGCCACGATCAAGTCGTGGAAGTAGTCGAACTCCTCACCCTTGACGGCGCCTCCCATGAGATCAACACCGTGGAGGTGCTTTCCAGGCCCGATACGCATGTGTAAGATGCCCAGCTCGCTCATGCGATCAATCATCTTCTGGCTAATGTATCGTCCAGTCGCCTCGCACTCTTGCGCCTCCGCGTAGAGCTCACTATCGACGAATTCTCGGAGCTTGCGCTGCAGCCGCCTGTGGCTGTCCTTGTAGTAGGGTGAGCGGAAGGGCTCGGCAAGCCATAGAGGCTCGGCGTAGGGGACCCTGCTGAGGTCACCAGGCTGTGGGGTGATAACTTGGGGTTTCTCGCCCTCGATGGTGCCAACGGCGAGGTCCTTGTACTTTGTGAGAAGTTCATGTCGGTGGAGATTGTAGAAAGCGGTCGTGGCATCTTGACCGGCGACTTGTTTGAGGACAGTCTCACCACCGGGATGAGCGTCGACAAAGTCTGTGAGATCGTAGACCGTGCTATCGATGATGCACCAGAGAGACTCGTCGGTTGTATGGGAGCGGACCTCCTCGCGGGAGAATGTATCTGTAGGAGAGCTCATGGCTGTGGTTTCGAATATTAAGGCGAGACGAGATATCGCAAGAGTATAGAAGAACAAGTGAGAAACAGAGTTGAAGTTGAATGGAAGGAGTTTGGCTCGCTTTAGCTGTTCTCAAGCCCCCAGACAGACACTCACACATTACCCCAGACGATGGATGACCTTGAACCTCGGCACCGACTAAGTGGGCCTGCGGTGATGAAATACAAAGTCTCCCATTGGCTTCAGCGGCATGACTTCCATTTTGTGGGGGCGGGGCCGACGCATTTGCACATGATGGAATGACCTGAGTCTTGACCAAAAAAAAAGGTAAGACATGGATAGAGGGTCACTGGAGTTTGGGTCTTTCCTCGGGCAGCTCGGTAGTGAAGCTCGACAACTCCTTAATAAGCGAGGTCTCTATCCGCGGCTTGTTAAAAGCCCATCACCGTCCTTCTCTCGAATGGTCTGATGTTATGGGGCTTGAGCTCCATTACAGGAGGGACTTGGAACTTAGGAACTGTCGTTAACTAACACTTGTTAGGATCTACTTGATCCCCTAATCCCCTGCAAGAAATCATCAAGAGACTATGTATGTTCCGCTCATCTGATTTCATTCCTGATTGGCTACTAAAAGGCAACGCAGCTCAAGCACTCGAGGGGACTGTGCTGAGTTTGCTCATTACAAGCTGCTCAACTCCATCCTTCGAGAAACTTGACGGTCGCTATAGCATCTTCCTACTCGCTCTCATTACTCAAGCAACATATTGTCATCAAGGCCAATGCTTCCTGAATTCCTCTCTCTATATCGTGAGCTCCGTACCGCTTAGCTCAACCTGACCAGGGGCTTTGGGTATTTGGACAGGACGGCTTGACAGTCTCATGGGTTTGTAGGCAAATCCTTCGAGGACTTACTTTCGAGAGTGCTTCTATCTTGCGATAGTGTCAACGCTTCATAGACGGATGCCAAAGTACGAAGCAGACAATCAAGTTTCTTGCCCTTTGCGACGAATCGCGTTAGTCATGGCCCCACGCCGCTAGAAGCCGATGAAAGATAAAACTTGGGATTGCCTCAGAATCTTCTCCTCTGAGCCTGAATGTATTTCTTTTTATGTTGCATAAGCTCTTTGAAGAGTAATGCGATATTCCCTCTTTCATCCTGCTCTATCTCACTTACACCCTCGATTCTCACTCAAGTACGTATCAGTCCAGTCAGTCTTAGTTCTCACCCCTCGTTTTCTCTTATCACTTTGCCTCGCTCTTACATGACCCTGCTTGCGCTCGACTCAAAACCTACGAACCTCTTTTACAGCCGCTGTTTCTCTGAACTAGTCTGGCTTGGCAAACGGGAGGATCCACGATTTGAATCTGGATCTGCACAGGCCTTTTGAGGGGCATCTTGGTTCTATATCAAAACGACGGGTCTTGTCCTATCCCATGTTCCCATGAGCAGCAGTTCAGAGACGCCATTGGCTTGGTTATTTGCGGGCTTTTCTTTGTGTATCTTCACTCTCAGTTTATTACTCTTTTGCGAACCCTGGACCTGCATCCGTGACAGCCATGTCCATGCCCGCCTCACTTTGGTCCTTTGCGTACTGCCGAGCCTCCTTATCAAAGAGGTTGCTCCAATGGCGATGTGAATAAGTCGAGTTTAAAGCTCATGCTAAAGCGCCGAGGCGTGCATGGCGGCGTCTGCCCCTGCGCCCGCTTCTCATCGGTTTCGCCAGTTGACACCAGGGTTTTGTCCTCAATCATGTTTCGCAATTGGCTCTTCTTCGTTATCTGAAGTTTGCAAATCGCTCAGGTTGCCGCAACTATCTTCAACTAGGTCATTGGCTAGAAATTGCCTTGATCTAAACATCGTAGGAGCTAACACACCCGAGACACCACACGGTCATTCCCTCCCTCCCTCCCTCCATTGTGCGGTGGATATATTTCCCTCGTGATCGTCATCGTCACGGTATCTAGCCTGTTACGAGTTGTCATCTATTCTCAGGGAACTTCGGTGGCCAAAGGCCATTCTTGCCTGACATGACTTTGGCACCTGGTGACCTCCTTGTCAACCGTTGAGGCTTATATCCCTCCGTTCTGGGCTACACCTGTATCCCCCGCCCTATCATACCCTTCTTATATCTCCCTATCTCGATCCTGTTTCCTACTGGAAGTCCAGTTATCCTTCTTTTACCATTGCTCTACACCCATTCCTAAACGCGTATCTTTCGACCATACATCTTGAATATCTCAGCATGGATGCTTACTCGATATGTTGCACTAGCCCTGCCGCTAGGCACACATCCAAGATCTACCAGGATCTCTGGTCTACCCGTCCACATACTCGGGTTGGGTATGATCAAGATAAGATCTTGAGGAAATTTGTCACCATGGATAGTTTGAAACAGGTATGTACAGAATTTGCACCAAACATGCCGTTGTTAAATGTCTCATGTTGGACGCCACCTATGGCTATTCAACGGTGACAGTTTCATTCTCAGCCTCTTACACACCTTGAAGCCAATGCTGATTAACAAGCCTACAGCGTTGGGGTGGTGATCAGACCTCAAAGCCACACATTGGTGTAATCGGTGCTGGTCTTGCTGGTCTTCGATGTGCAGATATTCTCATTCAGAATGGCTTCAAAGTCACTATCATTGAGGCTAGGGATCGAGTTGGTGGCCGCTTGCATCAAGAGGTCCTTCCAAATGGTCACTTGGCTGATGTCGGCCCCAATTGGATTCATGGAACCAACGATAACCCAATGCTAGATCTGGCCAAGCAAACGAATACTGCCATCAGCGACTGGGAGTCAACGTCTTGTGTCTTTGACGAGTCTGGCGAGCTCTTGTCCCTCAAAGATGGTGAAAAATACTCCACTATCATGTGGGATATTATCCAGGACGCCTTCAAGCACTCCAATAGCAACTCGTCAGCCATCGATTCGAAAGAAAGTCTTCACGACTTCTTTGTTCAGAAGGTCGTGGAGAGGGTGCCTGATACTGAAGCCGACCACGAAAGGATACGAACCATTGTCATGCAAATATCTGAGATGTGGGGTGCTTTTATCGGAAGTCCTGTCTATAGACAAAGTCTGAAGTTCTTTTGGTTGGAAGAGTGTATAGAAGGAGGTATGTCGAGTCCGAACTTGATGAAAACGATCATCTAACTCAAACCAGAGAATCTGTTTTGTGCCGGCACATACAAGAAGGTTCTTGACGAAGTTGCGAAACCCGCTCTTGGGGGAGCCGAGATCAAGTTCCAGACCAAGGTAGTTAGGATATCATATCGATCAAATCCTGAGGAAAAGGCCAAGGTCACAACAGAGAGCGGCCAGATACTCGAGTTTGACGAAGTTGTCGTCACTGCACCCCTTGGCTGGCTGAAACGAAACCTTGACGCTTTTGAGCCTGCGCTACCTGCTCGAATGACCAAGGCAATCGATGCCATCGGTTACGGATGCCTTGAGAAGGTTTACATCAACTTCCCCAAACCTTACTGGCTCGGTGTAGAAGGTAACAGCCGAAAAGCAGAGGGTTTTGTGCAATGGCTCTCACCAAATTACGTTCCTGATCTGAACCCGAGACGATGGAATCAAGAGGTCGTGGAACTTGCTAGCCTGGACCCAGCAGTTTCACATCCAACTCTTCTCTTCTACACATACGGCGAGCAGTCGCAGTATATTACGAGCGAGCTACTGAAGATACCGGATCCCCAGAAAAAGGATGCGTTCCTCCTCAACTTCTTCAAACCATATTACTCACGACTTCCGCATTACTCGGATAGTAACCCTGACTGCAAGCCGTCTGGCTTTATGGCTACAGATTGGCTTCACGATGAGCTGTCAGGATTCGGAAGTTATAGTAATTTCCAGCTTGGTTTAGAAGAGGGTGATGCTGATATCCGGACAATGCGAGAGGGTTTGCCGGATCATGGATTGTGGCTGGCAGGCGAGCACACTGCGCCGTTTGTTGGCCTAGGCACAGCGACTGGAGCCTACTGGAGCGGTGAGGCTGTTGGTAAGAGAATAGCGGAGGCTTATTATGGACGATCCAAGTAAGTAAGGGCCCTTTGAAGATTTGATTGATGGTTTCTTCAGTGAGAAGAGACACCGTCAATCGTTTGTGGTTAGGGTAGCAATAGACAGGATGCCTAAAACGGCCGTTAAAGAAATCTTGGCAAGGGGATGCGCGTGATAAGCAGTGAATATGTCGTTGTCTCAGGCTATCAAAGGGACTGCATAGAGATCGACGATGCATTTGTTTGAGGTGAAGTTGCAGCAACCTTGACTCACCCGATTTACCCAAAACAGCAAAGGCAATCTTTCGCAACAAATCGTGTCAGAGCAAAACACGTCACAGTTGATCAAGAGATTGATTGAAGTATCCATGACGCGGGCGGCACACAATTTGATTGATGGTGAGCCGACCTTATCGATTGAGTTCCCCAATTTACAGTAGAGTAGAGGTTGCGCGAGTCGTATCACCCACTAAAAGCGCAATTCACGGGTCAAATGACGCCCAACGAGATGCCCTCGGGAGATACATGATGGACCAGCTGCTTTGGTGCACCGCTCGAAACGATCCTTGAAATCGAGTCACGAGCCTCATGTGTTAGTGTTTTAGCGCCTCGAGGGGCGATAGACAGGCCAGACAGGGTCTCTTCCAGGCCTTCTACCGCCTGTAGCTCGCATGGATTTGGCGGTAGAGGGTCCACTGGAGGTCTATCTCCCCCACTCGCCCGCGCGTTGCCGTCTCAGCCATGGTCCATGCCCATGCAAGTCGTGACTGTGTGACGCTGTCTGTGACGGTGACCCGACTCTTTGGGAAGTGTGCCTCGACCGACCTTACTTTACTACTGTTCTTTTCTTTAACTCAACCCAGATTTGTATCAACCAAACCTTTTCAGCCTCGTTGGTGCCTTACCCTTAACTTCTGCCACGATTCACATTCCCAAACTTAATTAGTTTACCCGACCTCACAGCGAATTTCTCCTCCTCTTACAGCTTCTTCTCATGGCCTTCATCCATTCCC